CCTCTCAGCCTATAGAATAATTTCAATAATGTGTTAAGTGAAAATAGCATATTGCAAAATCATTTAATATGATCCTGCGTCAGTCAGAGCTGTCCTGAGAAACAGAACCAAGGGCACTCTGCTAGCAGAGTCTCTTCTTCGGGGTCTTTGTTCTGTTTAGGCCTTTAAGTGATTAGACAAGGTCCACCCACGTTATGGAGAGTAATTTGCTTTGCTTAAAGTTCACAAATTTGAATGTTAATCTCATCTAAAAGTCACCTTCCAGAAACACCCAGAATAATGATTGACCAAATATCTGAGTACTTTGGCCCATCCAGATTGACAGACAAAATCATATAGATCCCTTGGGGGTTGGGGATCATGTTTGCAAAGAAAAAGAAAAAGGTCCAAACCTTTTCTGCTGACAAGCATTACCTCTGGAGAAAAAGGATAGGAGGTACTGGGTTACAGTGACTGATTTTTCTTTAATTTTGTGTGTTTTCCTATTATTTGGATTATCTCCTGCAATAGACACATTATTATCCTTATAGTTTTGAAAATAAAAAGAAGAATTAAATAGAATAATCATCTTGATCTGTTGCAAATAACTCAGAGGAATTGAGTTTAAATTTACTAACTCAGGTTCCAAAGGAAGCAAGTTGGTTCAGAAATAGCCTGGTGTCCCTGCTTCTCCCTTGTTTCTGTGGATGGCAGGAAAAGAGAGGCCCCCACCTTGTGGGCAGATAAACAGAAGGTAAGATGGAGAGGAAGCGTAGACAGTGGTCTATGGCTGGTTCTGACGTTAGTGGAAAGGTGGTTTTGGTTGTTTTTGGTATTGCTGTTCCTTCGGTTCTGCAAGAAATTATTTGTACAAGGAAACTCCTGCAGGGCACCATCCCCATGGAGAAGTACCCATGCCCACCCCACCAGGCCTCTGAAACGTAGAAGAGCTTCCTGTAAAGCCATCAAGTTCAGAAACTCACTGTTGTAGAGAGCAGCTTTCCTGGACAAGTCACACTCTGTGGTTTTTGCAGTGCCTGTTACCTGAGAGTCATAAACTTTGTCACTTGGTATTGGGCATAGGGACCAATACTTTCGTTTCTACTTTTAAATGACTGGTTATTTCTCATAGAGAATGGTAAGCTTTATATGAACTCTGATCTTACGTTTTGTTCATTCTTCATGTGCTGTCTCCTTTTTTCATGATAAAAACATTTTAATCTGTAAACAGAATGTGTTTGTTTGTTTACAGATGTAGTTTCTCAGCTGTATTTATCACTTCTCAATTTTTGGTAAAAGCAATCTACTTGTAGAAAATTATGTAACACAGTTTTTTTCCCAAAAAGTTACTGTTGACTTGTTCCCAGACAACAATGAATTTCTTTTAACCATTTATATTATTTTCATTTATTTGCTCATTGTTTCTAAATATGGATTTACTGACATTTTTTTGAGGGCCATATTGAAAATCAGGTCCCCGGCTTTGCACTAAAGCTAAGAACAGAGACTCTTAGAATTTGCAATCTTGGAAAGGCCTTGGTTTTCTCAATTCGGAAATACTAGGGTTGGGACAAGTGATTGTTGAAGCCAGGTGAAGTACTGAATTTTTTTTCTCATTCTGCATAGATATTAATATTCAGTATCATTTATTTTTGTTTTTTATTATATTCATGTTTTGAAATACCTATACAGGGTAGAATGGTTAAATGTAGCTGGTACCAAATGCATTGCTTCACACAGTTACTTTTATAATGACAGTATAACAACATCCATTCAGGTTGTATTTTGCAAGATAACGGTATACAGTAGCATGACTGCTGTCGCCTTGCTGTACAATAGAACTCTTAAAACTATTCCTTCTCACAATGAGCATGCATCCATCCTTTGACCTACATCACCCCATCCCCTGCTTTCTTCACCACTATTCCTTCTACTGTCTTAATTCTATGAGATCAGTGTTTTTAAATTCCGCATATGAATGAAGTCATGCTACACCATTTACTTTGAATCAAGTTTAGTTGATTCCTTAAATCATGTATACTAATGCTTTGTTTGTAGTACTTTGAATATTTTTTTGGTGATGACTGGTTGGTTAGAATTTTTAACTTGGTACTTGATAAAATTGATGAACACTGTTACAATTTGGTTGAAATTGGTAGCTTTTTAACATGAAGTAATTGCATTTCAACTCTATTTGCCTGCAAATATATTTGATTAAAATACTACTTGCTGCTCTGTTGGAAAATACAAGAGTGCTTCAAATGAATAGTATTAAGTACTTAATTTTCTGTTTAACAGATCATTCATCTAAACTTACCGTGTAATACCAGTCTTTAATGGCATTGTGAAGGTGCTTAAAATGGAAAATTTGCAAAGCCAAGTTTTTCACATTTGTTTGCATAGATCAAGAAGTTTACTTTTTTGGGGTTTGGATTTGATAATTTAAAATGTTTTGTGTTCCCAAAACACTTAGTTAAATATAAATGAGCAGCATCCTAGCCATATTTATAATTCTCTCTTGGATTCTTTTCTTCAACATTCAAACATGCTGTCATCACTAAAAACAAAAGCCTTGTGCCCCCAAGTCCTCCTCCAGGGCCCGCCCTGCCCCTCTGCTCCACTTGGCTGCCTAGTTCTCTGACAGAGTTGTTCACAGTCACTGATCTTCCTTCCTCTCTTCCTGTTCTGTAATCCATCTCCCTGAGTTCAAACCTTCTCCGCCCACTAAATTTCCTTCTCCCTTTGTGTTCCAACTGCAAGTTGCCTTCTCTGTTCTTCATCTTCATCTTAGTGAAACCTCACCAGTACTTGTTGCTGCCTCTGAAGATGCTTTGGACCCTCAAGTGCTGGTTCCTCTGTGTCTTCCTGATAGGATTGCCACAAAGAGGCCAGCCTGGATTGCATAGTGAACTCATGGCCACCCTGAACTACATGGCAAGACCGTGACTCAAAAAACAAAATTTTTTTTAGGTAAAGATACAAACCTTTTAAATTCTAAGAATTTTTGCACAGATATTGATATTCAGAATCATTTATTTTTATTATGTACACTTTTGAAATACATATTGCTAAATGTCCGTCTTTGAGAAGTCATACTCGGTTATACTCCTGCTAGCAGTATGAAAATGCACATTTACGCATACGCTGGACAACACTATTTTCAGATGTTTTTGTTGTATTTTTTACTTTTTCTGGCCTTCTTGAATAATTTTAATACATTTTTGCAAGAGCAGATTTCTACTAATTTAAATATAAAGCAGTCTCTTAATTACTACAGTAAGTTTTCGTGTACTGTTAGGTATCTTAAGCTTTGACATGTAAATAGATTGTGATGCTGTGTCATTATCATAGAACCACACTACGGTTCCTTCGAGGAAATGTGAAGCTTTGCATGAAGCTGCAGAATTGACTTAATCACACATTTTCCCCTTTCATTTTAAGTGTCATATTTAATTACTGGCTATCAGTAATTGAAGTTACATAGCCAGGCAACTGTGTTATACCAAGAGAGAAATCACTTTGTTCGTAAAATTAGACTACTCTTTAAGAGGTTTTTAAAAGGCTACTTTTGAAATTGTTGCAGTTTCTCCATGGAAAGACAATTCATAATGAAATTAACACTATTTTGAGAAATTTCTACCTCAGATAAATGATTTGAAGCTAGAAAGTCCCAGTCAGTAACTTTTAAAATACTTTAAAGAAGTTTAAAATGTAGTAACGATTTTCATATTGTCATTTTACTTGGAGAGGATAATTGAGAGGTACAAAACTTCCTTTCTACTACCTCACTAATAAAGGCATTATTTTGACAAGATTTCAGTTTTGACTGAATTGGTGAAGTGGGTGCATCCCAGGAATTCTTCCCCCTTAAGTTAGTACTCAAATCTGCAGGAAGTTAAAACCTTTTGTTCCCAAAATCCTTTTACTTCCATCCAGGTTTTTTTCTGGTGTACAATTCCATCACATGAAAAGATAATTATTTTGTTACAGTATATTTTTGATAAACTAGAATTTCAGTGATAAGCTACTTTTAAGGCAAAGATTTCTATTATAGAAAAGTTTAGTCTTCTTTTAAACTATCACAGGGTACTTGATGTGAAATTCAGGTTTAGGAGTTGAAATTCTGTACTTTGCAAAGCACATTTGGATCTAGCAGCAATGTTGGGGATCCCTTTTCAAAATCTGTAGTACTCCTCAGAGGTTACTGCTAATACTTTGTCTTCATGAAAGATAATTTTGTTAAAACATGTATATATTAGCCGTGAAGAAGTAATTTACCTCTGCTCATTGATTACCAGGGTGATAAATGACATCTATGTGGTGGTAAGCCACTTGAAATTCATTTTCTTCTTTCAAAATTTACTGAAAATCTTTTTTTTTTTAGCACAGGAAAGAAGAGATACTTTGTAGCCTTTCAGAGTAGGTGTGCCACTAATAATAATACCCACTGTTATCTTTTGAACCTTTATTACCTGAAATGACAGGCACCATGTAAAAAACATCTAGTAGGAACTAGAGTATGGTTTAAAAAATTCACTTTAGTGCTTGTATAGGAAGTAAAAAAATGCTGTGGGATCACAGAGGACTTTGTGAATCCTTAGCTCTGCCTAGGGGAACATTTTCCCTGAATAACTTTACCTTATGAAGAAATTGCTTTATGACATTCGGAGAGGAGGAAGAGTTACGCTAGGCAGTGGAATTGACTCAGATGTATTTTGCCTTTTTTTTGTTCACTGGTTGAGCAGGAGTTTTAAGTTTCTAAGGTTGTATCTCAAAATCTTTAAAAAGTCTAAGGTAGATAATAGGTGTGAGTAGTCAGCTAGTCAGACTAAGTCAGGTTGACCTGACATCCTCCCTAGTGTGGCTCTTTTGTCATGGCATTTTGTCATGGCCTTTCCCCCATTGACAAAGCAGACATCGTTTTATTTCTGCCTGTGGATGATAACAACTGAAATTGATCACAGTGAATCCCTGGATACCACAAGTGTTGATGTTTAGGTTTTTATTTCTTGTCTTTCCAGCCTTTACCGCCATTGAAGGCACAGCACATGGGGAACCCTGCCACTTCCCTTTCCTTTTTTTGGACAAGGAATATGATGAATGTACGTCCGATGGGAGGGAAGATGGCAGACTGTGGTGTGCTACAACCTACGACTACAAAACTGATGAGAAGTGGGGCTTCTGTGAAAGTAAGCGTTGTTCAATAGAAGCGTGTCCGTGTGACTTGGGTCTGAGGCCTTCTTTTGAAGGCCTTTCTCTAGCCATCCTTCTCCACTGTGGTCAGACATGGCCAAGCTGGTGCTGTGGTTATAGCCGTAAAGAATAGACTTGAGTGCTGGGAGGATGAACAGTTCCTTTCAGGCCACCAGACAGCTTAGCACACTCCTGTCTTCCTTAAAAAAGTTTTGCACAGGTGATTCATAAAACCTTTAGGCAAGCTGCTAGATTAATTACATAAAACATTTTTTATTCAATAAAAGAAGCAGACCCTTAGAGTGAAAGTAATAATAGTTAAAAGTACCTCTGTAAAATAATTTGAGTGAGGTGTGCTGTTCTAATGTAATGTTTTACAAATGTATGTTCAACTATTGTAAGTATAAATATCAATATAAATAAAGAGGCTGAATTCTATAGGCCAACTATGTTTCCAGGGAAACTGGATATAAGTAGGCTGGTGTGACAGAGAAGCATGGATTTTTCTGTACTACAAGAAGAACTCACTTCTGTTACTATAAATTGGTCTTAATATGAATTTTGGTGAGTTCTGTATTTCTATTTAAAGTGCCTTATTATGATAGCAAAATAATTTTGAAAAATCCATAACAAGTCTTATGAGTTTCAGGGTTATACTAGTGAGTATGAGAAATTAGTATGAGAAAAATAATGGACCTAAAGCTAAGTCAGGATCTATATTGAGTTAAAAAAAAAAAAATTGAGACCAGGTCTCTATGTAATCTAGGCTGGCCTTGAACTCACTATGGAAGCCCAGGCTGGCCTCCCCCCCCCAGTGATCCTCCTGCCTCAGCTTCCCAAGTACTGGGATTATAGGTGTGAGCCACCACTCTGTCTTTAATTTTTATTATGTAATTACTTTCTCCTTATAAAATACACATTTCAGATAGAGGTAAAGTATTCTTTGATTACAACAGTGTTTTTCTTCTCTTAATTTACCTAACTTGGATATATAATCTCAAAGTTTAGTTGAATTATATAAAAATGTTAGCAGAAAAAATACCCTCCAAAACCAATTAATAGTGTTTCCTTTAAAAGAAATTTCAGGAGATTTTATGTTTTGAAAGTCTCACCTTTTATCAATAAAGGCCACACTTAAACTGTTTTTAGAGTCATATTTGGAAATAGTGGTATATCATTCACTGTGTTTGTGTGACTACCTGAAAGAAGGAATAAACTCTTATGTTTGATAAATAATTCATGTAGAATTACAGTCCATTTAAATGCATGTGACAAATATTTTTAGCTGAAGAAGAGGCTGCTAAGAGACGGCAGATGCAGGAAGCAGAAATGCTGTATCAGACTGGAATGAAAATCCTCAATGGAAGCAACAAGAAAAGCAAAAAAAGAGAGTAGGTACCAAGCCGACTCCTTTCTTGCCCCTAGAGAGGACTTTCACTGAAATAAATAGCCAAGTACTTACTTTTTAAAAATTGCTGCCAGAAACACAGATTATGTGATTCTGTTACAAGAAAACTTAATATGATTTGTGTGCATTAGTGGCATTAATTTTAACATATTTTAACTTGTTAGCATAAAAAAATTATAGCTATTGATCAAAATGATGAGTAATGAGGAAAGTAAAAGTAATTTACCTAAATTCTCGTGGTTATTAAGAACCAAGAATGCATATACTGTTCAGGATTTAACAAAAGGAATTGTCATTAAGTGTGGGTTTTGGTTTTGCTTTTAAATTTCCAACTGGAATTTAAGAATTTTCACATGGAAAGAATGCAGAATAAGTGATTATATTCTAACATTTTGTGTCTATTGATTTCAGCTAACTTTTGTTACATTCTGTGCAAAGAATTAAATTAGAATAGTTATCGGATTATTTACTAGACTTCATATTTATTGCAGAGCTTGTGAGATTATCCTCAGTGTAATTAGACTATTCCAGGGTGCCGGAATAACAGGGAGAACTGGCACCTTAGATTTCCACATACGTAAGTAAAACGAATTGGATAGTAAAAACAGTATCAGGAAATTTCTTATTTAAAATAAGGAAATTATTTAAACAGCATTTTGGTAGATCTTGAAAAAACTTGAAATGGCAGTTCCAAAACACTGCTAATTTGTTTTTAATTGCTTGCATTTAAAGAGCATATCGGTATCTTCAAAAGGCAGCAAGCCTGAATCATACCAAGGCTCTGGAGAGAGTGTCCTATGCCCTTCTGTTTGGGGATTACCTGCCACAGAATATCCAGGCCGCTAAAGAGATGTTTGAGAAGCTCACTGAGGATGGCTCTCCCAAAGGGCAGGCTGTAAGTGCACTTCCCATGCAAACTTGTCAGTTCAGCGGTATTGATTTCAGCAGCAGTCTATTCCTTATGCCCTGATGCCTTTTAATAACTAAGATGGAAGATAACATGTCTTTAAATTTTGTTTTGGCAAGCCATTTTATCTTTCTCCTTTGATACTCTCTTTCCCTAGTCTGAGAACATTTATACTTAGTGACTGCATTTTTTTTCAGTTGCATCTTGCCACAGTTGCATTTGTAGTTTTTCTAAATTATATCTATAAAGAATGAAATACACAAGTAATTCTCTTTCACCTGAAACTACTCACCATTGCATTTTTTTAAATTCATATGCTATAGCTGTTGTTAATATTCATGTCTTGTAAAAATTTTGTTACAGAAGCAATACATATTTATGGTGGGAAACCAGATACACAGACTAGGAAAACCAGAAAGCAAACACCACCTGTGCACCAGCCATTTCTGAGCAGTGATAACTGCAGTGCACGCATACCCTTAGAGCTTTCTCTTTGTGTGTATTTATGTATGCATTTTTATTGAAATGAAAAGGAGCTGTTTACTATTCCATACTTGCTTTTTTTAATCAACAGCTTTCATCTGTCCGTTCCAGCATATCTTTACATTATGTAAAATACCCACACCATATTCATGTCATGTTGAGTCAAAAATTTTTTGCTTTGTCCTATTAAGCACCTAGTCCTGCACTGCACCATGCATTTAGTTGTAATTTCTAACACAGTCCTGTGCCTTTTCTCCCCCCGTGTTAGGGGTATGGCCACGTTTCTGCACAGTGTTCTACCTCTATTTGAATCTTCATACTGTTCTTTATTTTACTTCTCCCATCACCTCTTTTTCCTATAAACAGATGTCACAGCTAAAGCTTGATGAACTCAAGTAAAATATTTTTGCCTAGACTACCTTGTAGATGTTCTGTAATCACATTGCATTGTGTGTTCACGTTGTATTGTGCTTGTTTTTTGCAGTACTTGGGATTGGGTGAGTCATTGTACTGAGCTGTATCCCCAGCCCTTCTTTTACTTTTTTTATTTGGAGTCAGGGTCTCAATATGTAGGCTGGGATCAAACTTGAAATACCCCGTTCTTGTTTGTGCCACCTGTGATACTTCTCTCCTGCTTGCGTCAATCATTTTGAACTGGCAGCTCCCAATCATGGACCACTTCAATCATGTAGTTTTACCTTTTTGAACACAGGCTTCCAAGCCATCGTGAGGGGAAAAGACAATGCTGAGAGAATAGCTGGGAACTTTACAAAGGCCAGGCCTTAAAGTGGCTCACATCACTTCCATCCACCTCATAGACACATGGGCCTCTTACCTAACTACAGAAGCTAGGAAATTTCAAGGGGCTCATGGGTTTTTATGAGCACAAGCATTCCCTGCTTCACCTGCCCTGTAACCTTCATCAAGAACCTTACTAACACATTGTCTTTTCACCGTTATGTTTTAGAAAACAGTATGTGCTTGAACATTGCGAAGTAGCATTTCACCCTTGACCCCTTGACGCCTCTTTCTATTCCTAACATAGTTTGTCCTGACAGTCTTGTTCTTCTTCAGAGTGTATTCCACTCTGCATAGATGGAGACGTGTGTCAGTGTAATTGTGAGAGTTGCTTTGTGTTCATAGTGGCTGTTGATAAAGATGAGGTACAAGTCATGTTTAAGTGTTTAGCTTTGTTCTTCTAGTTAATATTTCACTAGACTGTCTTTAGGGTAAACTTTTCATTTGTTTAAAGTTATATTTAGTTGTATAATTTGTAAAACCCAGAATGCATTTCCGAGGCTCTTTAATTCCAAGTTGTGCATACTTGCATTCAAATCTCTTAGCATTTAAAGTGTTTCACATCTTTTCATAGGGCGTAAAACTGTCAATCTCGACTAAACTTCTGCCAGAGAAGAATTCTTACTTCTTCCATTTTCTTTCAGGCTCTTGGCTTTCTCTATGCCTCTGGACTTGGTGTTAATTCAAGTCAGGCAAAGGTAACACTATTAAAACTGAATTGTATGTTATGATTTGATTGAATAAGTAGGTCCTTCTGTTCAGGTAAACATCTTTTATTCTTTTACAGGCTCTTGTGTATTATACTTTTGGAGCTCTTGGAGGTAATCTAATAGCCCACATGGTTTTGGTAAGTATAACCTCAGTAAAAGACCAATGATTTTAAGTAGCAGAAAAATGGACACTGGATACAACTTTTCCAGTGCTCTTGATTGAGATCTCCTTAAGATCAAGTATTTTTTACTGAGATTGTCCCAGATTTTACTTTGGGTTTTTTTTTTTTTGTTTTGAGATAGGGTCTCACTACATAGCCCAGGCTAGCCTTGAACTCACACCCATCCTGTGCCTCAGCCTTCCGAATGCTAGGATTACAGGTGTGTGCCACCATGCCCAGCTAAATTTTACATTTAAATTCACAGAGGACTTAGACTCTGTCCTGTAAAGGACATTTAAGGGTATCTCTATGTATTACCTGATAGGGTTAGTCACTTAAATAGCTTATAGTAAATATAGTATCTTTCCACCCAATTGTTTTGCTGCTGAAGCAGTTAATCTGCTTTCTGCTGTATAAAGTGGCTTTGGGCTGGTCAAGTGACCTCAGGTGCATATTGCAGTGTTTCAAGTGAATGTAAGTCCATTAGTAATGTGAAGAATGGACTGAGTAGAACCGTGACTGAAAACAGAGAAACAGTCTCCAGGCTTGTGCTTTGATGGGATATGACACTTAACAAAAAGGGAAAATGTACTTGCTGGCTAACTAGATAGATCTTAGATCACTTTACCTGTATGTATTCAAAAATATTTAATTGATTATTTATCATTAGGATTCCAGAGATCAATAATACATAGCAGTTACCCTCAACGAGAAAGGCCATTATAGTACAGTACAGAGTGTTAGAGAATTTGTGAAAGGAGTTATGGCTGAAGAAATAGCACAGGGGGTTTTTGAGGGGTAAGTAGTAGTAAATGAATAGAAGGAGCAGAAGGGTACACACGCCGCAGGAAAAAGAACTGCACAGAGACAGCATCGTGAGGGAATGTGGTGCGTGCCAAAAAGTGCAAACACTTTAGTGTAGCTGGAGAGTAGAACTGCCAGCGCTGATGGTGACAAGCTGGCCAGGGAGATGAGACGCCAGTGAAAAGGCTCTCGGTCACGCAGGCGAGCTTACAAATTATCCTGTTACAGCCTGTACCACTGAAGAAGTTGAAGCACATGGAAAACCAAAATGTTAGTTTTGATGTTTCCATTTATTTGTTTAATCTACAATAACATTTATTCCTCAAACAGTAGTTGAAAATTTCCTTTCAGGTGAATTTCCAAGAAATAATGAAACTTCTATTTTTATATGGCACATTCATAGTAAATATTTTTATACAACTCCCTTTCAAATTGTATTTACTAATCTTTTTAAGTAATGACTCCAGATTTGAACTATGTAATATTATGCATGTTACCCTCTATTAGTGCCCTAAAGGTTATTAGAGTCTACAATGATTTGTACAGAGGGATTCCAGAGAGTTCTACTTTCTATTTGCTGTACTTTTCAGAAATTAATAATCTTCACATTTACTCTTTTTTATTTTTTATTAGTATATGTTTCCAGTATGTACTAACCTCCCCGACCCCACTCTCTTCCCACTTAATTCTGAAATCATTTATTGCTCGTTATGCTACATGCTTCTAAGTTTCACTTTTCTTAATGTGCTAATTTGTCACTTGCTAGCTTGGAAGATGAATGCTTTTGAATTAAGATTGCATCTAAAGTGAGATTAAAATTGGCTGTAAGCGTAAATCTCACTAATTTTATCTTGAGTAAAATGTACACACTTCATACATAAAGTTCATGGCACTTACTTTGATTGCTGTAGGAACTTTATTTTTTAGTTCTTAGCTATAGTCTATTGAACTTGCTAAGTTATCTCAGAACTTAAAACTCAGGATAAATGAGATGTTCACATACTTAGATCATAGGACAGCAAAATTACATGTGAGTATGGCTAGCTTGCTTTATTCCAAGAATAATGCCTCTGGCCTGGGAAGCTGCCTTCTTCTCACCCAAAGCTGTCTTTCAGGGATACCGGTATTGGGCTGGCATTGGCGTCCTCCAGAGCTGTGAATCTGCACTGACGCATTATCGTCTTGTTGCCAATCATGGTAGCTATTTTTTTTTTTCCTTTTCACCTTCCAGGAAAAAAAAACAGAATTAATTTTAAATACATCTGTTTTTATTGTACTATTTGAAATATGACCGGCTCTCTTAAGTAGACTTGTCTTTAATTAAGAAGTATATTTATTAAAATTTATGAATTCTATGTCTTAAATATTCTGTGGGAAAAGTCTAATTTTTCTAATACCTTACTATTTTATAATCCGTAGACTACTGTGGAAACCATTTCCTTTAACATCATGTCTGAACACTTGGCAGCTGGGGTCGTACTCCTCAGTGAGCCAGCCCTTCCGGCTTTCCTTTGATGCCCGCCTTGTCTCCTGTTGCAGTTGCTAGTGATATCTCGCTAACAGGCGGCTCAGTGGTGCAGAGGATCCGACTGCCTGATGAAGTAGAAAACCCAGGAATGAACAGTGGGATGCTGGAAGAAGACTTGATTCAATATTACCAGTTCCTAGCTGAAAAGGGTGATGTACAAGCGCAAGTATGTGTTTAATGTGTTTAAACATCTCCAGGAGTTTCCTACTGTTTTATGTACTTTAACGCAGGGGGAGGAGAAGCATTCACTTCTGTAGGTAATGTTTTCACAGCTCTGTGCACTTATTAGCTATATATTAGGGTCACCTGAGGAGTATTAAATACAAGAGTTCTACATACTCAGAAGATTCCATTCGGGCTCCTCTAGGATGGGGCCCAGGCATTGAGAGTTCCTAAAAAGTGGTCACGTGACTCCCCTGTCCCACAACTGAAAGTCACTGCTTGAAAGGGCATTGATACTGAGTGTGAAGGCTCCCACCGGAGTCAGCAAGGACAAACCGGTCACTTACTCTGAACAAGATGCTGGGCCTTTAGGATATCAGATGCTCTTCAGAGCTACTTACTGTTCGTGTTTCTTGTGCTCATCTTAGATCGCGAGTACCTCAAAGTCCAGAGCAGAAGTAGGTTGATTCGGATTGTGTGTTGTTCATCACTCAGATAATACATAGTGTGTGTATGTGTTTTGTGGTTTATTTTGATAGACTACAATAAAAAGAACTTCAGTAACTTTTTTTCCATTATGGTTATAGTTTTTCTGATTTAGAATATATAGAAATGAGTAGTAAATACTTAAGAACAATTATTAAGGCTGACAGAAGAAAGTCATTGAGAAAGCCTGTAGTGAAAAGTAGATCCAAATCTTACCTCATGGAAACTAATTCTAACTAAGTTATCTTATCACATTAAGCATGTTTCTTTTACATTAATGATGTATTTTGGTTTAAATTTTCTCTTTTGCTTTCAGTTTATTGTGCTTTTCCCTGTTCCCTCATCGCTGCTGTCTGTCCCTCTTGCTCTGTGTGCTTCTGGCTTCTGCGTCTCCTCCTCCACTAACGTCATCGCTGGACAGCCTTTCACTGCTCTCTCCCTGGTTATGCGGATTGCAGCATGCTTCCTTATTAGAGGCTAGTGTGGAGGAGCACTTTTCATTTCCAGGATAATATATTGTACAGTACTTTATCCCCACCACACCTGCTTTTCTTTTCTTTTTTTTTTCTTGCTTTTTTTTTTTTTCCTGGTGGTACTGGGGAATGAACTCATGGCCTTCATAGTGACCTACATCCCTGCCCTTTCTCAATCCTGTGCTTTTTAAACCCACCCCCACCAAGGTCGCCCTGAATCACTAAGTTGCCCAGGCTGGGCTCGGATTTGTGATCCTTTTACCTCAGCCTTCCGGAGTGCTGGGATTATAGCCCTGTGCCGTCACATCCAGTTTGAATTCCATGTATATTGAACCTCACAAAGTATTGTTTTATACATAGATAACTATTTACATTTACTTATCTGTTTATATTTTCATTGCATTTTTTCCCCTTACTGCTCTCGAAATTTCACAGACACTTTTGCCTCTTGCCTGAACAGCATCTTTGAGAATTTCCTTTAGAGGACTGGGGATATAGGTCAGCGGCACTTGTGCCTGCCTGGTAAGCGCAAGGTCCTGAGTTCAATTGCTGGTACCAAAAAAAAAAGAGAACTTCCTTTAGAGCAGGTTCACTGAGGATAAATTCAGTTTTAATTCTGAAAATGCTTTTATTTCACTCGTCACTTCATAGGGATACTTTGATGTTTAAAGCATACTTTTTCAGTTCTTAGAAATTTTAGAATAATCAAAGTAATAATTTCAGGATTTAAGACTGAATGTCTAATTTTTGAGTCATGCACAGAAGCCTTTTATGACTAAATGGTTTCTTGTTGGTCTAATTTAGTCCATGCGAGACACTGTCACTTGCTTTTGCCTTCTGTCTGTTGATTTTCAGGTTGGTCTGGGACAACTGCATCTGCACGGCGGGCGTGGAGTAGAACAGAATCACCAGGTAATGACCTCATCCCTGGGCTTGACACCTCACGCTGGAACAAGAAACCATGCTCCACGTCTATTTTTGCTAGACAGTGCGATGTCCAGCTGGTATTATCTAAGCACTCCTCACAAATGAGCTGCCAGGATCTCCTTAACCCTTTAGGAAGCTAAAGAGTAAAAGCATGACTGTGCCTCAAGGTGGTCGGATGTATCCATGCTAAACCTAATTCTCTGTGCTGCCCAAAAAATGCGTATACAGATCTTGGTTTTCTGTAACTATATGATAAAAGTAGGTCTTAAGACTTTAGAGAATGTTTTATGGAACTGGGAAAGTAGTAGGTCATTTCTAAAAAATTAAGAGTGTGTAACTATAATCTAGTCACCAAGTTTTGTCTTTTTTCTGTCTTAAATATGACTTGCGTCTTCCCTGCCACCCATCGTTATACCTAGCTCTTGTGTGAATCATCTGTCACAGTCCTCCCCCAAGTCTCTGCAAACTGCATATCAGGTCCTGTGGTTAAAACTCTTGAGTGCTGTGATTTCCAATACTTTAAAATCCGCAGTCTTCAACTTGCCCTCCAAGGCTTTGTATCAGTCAGTTTTTCTTAGCAGCTCTCCACTCTTTGAGTCACAGACCCACAGACCTTTTTGAAAATGTCTGAGCCTGTCAGGATCTGCTGTCTCAGAACTTCCATGACACTGGTTCCTCTCTCTGAAATGATATTGCCCCACCTGCTTTCGTTCTGTAGCTAATTCCTGCCCATCCTCCAGAACTTAACACCAACCTGTAATATGTCTCCCCTGAAGCCCAGTCTCGATCCAGAAGTAGGTCACGCACCATAGAGGATATCTGAAAATCTGTACCCATCATAACCCTTATCCATTGCCAGTCAGTTACATAATTAAGTGTGTCCCCTGCTGGAACCTAAAGTCCAAAAGAGCATGAACTATGTCTACTTCATTTCCCACTTTACTCCCAGCTCCCAACAAAGCCTAGCATATAGTAAGTTTTCAGTAAATGCTTCTCAAACTAATAAAACTGTTTTCTACCATGCCAATTAAGTATACTAATTAAGGTGTTTTGTATACTTGTATCCCTTTTAACTTTAAGAATAAAATGGTAACAAAATGTTCTTCTTACCAAAACTGTACCAGGTATCTATGGGTTTGCTTTTGTTCAGACAGTTTGTCAGCTTGCATTGTTTTTAGGTCACTAAGATGCATTTCTTATGCTAGTGCAGCATCAGATAAGCTAGTTAATAAAAGTATCAGATAAATAAGTTTGGTGCAGAGCTTTTGCATAAGAAGTTAGGGAATATTCTTGTATTATATGGTGCCTGTGTCGAAAGCAACTACAAAATGATAAATTATCACAAATGCGTAACTAGTACAGAACTGCATTAATTCAACGAATATTTCCGTACCTACTGTTTGTCATTCACTGCTTGGTATTCAGGATGCAGTGTTGGACAAAAGAGCTTTGGTCTGTGTCCTCACAGAGCTTTAGGTTCAGTAGAGTTATTATATATTTCTTAAGTGGCCACATCAACAGATGAAGACAAGGATACATAAATGGCTAGTAGGTGGGAGGACCCATTCATCAGGGAAGCCTTTTCTCAGGAGATATAGATGCCGTTTCACTTGGCAGTGGAAGTAGTGTCATCCCAAACCAAAAGGAGCAGAGTGTGCATGGGTCCTAGCAGGAAGGAACAGGACTGGAATACCCCACATGCAGAGTGTGACGCGTGGGGCAGTGCTGCAGTGAGCAGTCCTTCATCACACCGTTGTATCCGTGCAGACTTCAGGGACTATGAGGACTAACATTCTCAGTTTCAAAGCACTGGTTTTGGCTGCTGTATAGAGAATGAATTAGAAGAGCAGAATAGTTCAGAAGTTCATGTGAGAGAAAATGTGCCTTGAACTAGAACCATGGTAATAGAAGATACTGGGTAGATTCAGCAGGTATTTGGTGGTCACCAATACATAGTGATGCGTTGGGTGTGAGTGAAGGGGGAAGGTACCTTCAGCAACCAATAGGTGGCGTATTGCCTAACTAAACAGAGATACTGGAGGAGAAGCAGGTTGAGGTCAAGGAGAAATTTCAGAGATCTGACCAAGCTTCAGATATTCAGAGATAGTTGCATAGACTACTTTAGAGCAAAAGTAAAATCAGATGTAGTGGTTGCCATCATCTCAACAGAATGTGAAGCCGTGAGAGTGGAGATAAGATTGCTTAGAGAATGTAAAATGACAAATCACAAATTAAGCCCTGAAGAACCTTAATATGTAGAATTCAGCCAGTAATATAAGAATCAGCAGGCTGGGGATTTAGCTCAGCGGCACATCACCTGCCTTGCAAGCACAAGGTTGTGAGTTCGATTCCTAGTACCAGAAGAAAAACAAAAAAGAGTATATATCAGAATTAGCAAAGGTGACTGAGATGGTACAAGTAGAGTAAAGGAAGAAACCAGGTGTCTTAGTTACTTTTCTCTCGTTGCTGAGACAAAATACTGATGCCCAAAATTAAGGAAGGAAAGGGTTACTTAGCTCACAGTTTGTGGAGGTTTCAGTCCATACTCAGCTGGCTCCAAGGCAGAGTAGCACATGGCAGAGGGCAGCAGTTCATGGCATTGAAAAACAGCAAAAGCAACAAGAGCAAAAGGGAGGAGAAGAAAAGAGCAGCCTCTTTCCCTCCCTTACATTGTATACAAGCTTCTCTCCCCAGGCTGGGTGTAGCACTCACACATAATCTTAGCACTGGACCATGAATCAATCAAAATCTCTAGAAGCCTGCCACATGAGTGCATGAGGCTTTGGGGGGACATCTAGACACACACCCTAACACCAGGAGAGAGACATCCTACGTGCCAAGCCAGAACAGCATTTCACGACAGAGAGAGTGATGGGCCATGCCAAATGCATAGAGAGGGGAGTGGGATGAGAGACAGATTCTACTGGCAATGTGAAAGTCACTGGTGGCTTGATCAGCCTTTCCTGAAGCAGTGTGGATGAAAACCAGTTAAGACTGACTGTAGGGCACACTGTAGCACCTGGAGACAATGCATTTGCGAAAATTGTCTGTGAAGGAAAGTAGCTAACAGATACCAGTCATCACTGGAGAAAAACTGGGAATCTGAAGGATGGATGCATCTTGTGTTTTGGTTCCATTTTTTAGAAATAGGTCACTAGAATCCATCTGAGTGGGAAAGAACTGAAAAGAAGGGAGATTAAATCAACAAGGCAATGAAGTAATTGATGGTACAAGGTCCTTAGTAACGGTGGACAGTACGGTTGAGAGTGATGATAATGAATTCTGCTGATGCCAGTTTGTTCATTTATGTGATTTTTAAGTAAAATCCAAAATTTGTTTCTGAATAATACAAAAGTAAATTGCATTTCTTTAGGGAACCATGTAAATATGTCCATTGGCTTATAAAGACTTCCTAATTTTTCCCTTCTCTCAGATTACCAATAGTAAGGTGGTCAGAAGAGGTTGCACTGTTAATAGATGTCTTTTAAGCAACTGGAATCTTGCTCGCATTACCTGTGAATAATACGTCTTACTGATTTAAGCTTAGGGAATGGTTTAAGTTTAGGGAATGCAAGACATTTCTTTGTGGCTATAACCATGAAATGACTGTAAGATACATGGTACCTTGATGTAGCTAGTGGGTAAAATAAAGCTTGTAGATGTACAGATTTCTATTTTTAAATATTGATGACTGGATATTGTTTGTTGTAATATAACAAAACTTCTTTAGTGTTCCTGAAATAATTACTTTAGCTAAAACAGATTCTTTTAAAAACTAATGAATTCTTGCCGGGGATACAGCTTAGCAGTGCAGCACCTGCCTGGCAAATGTGAGGTCCTTAGTTTGATTCCCGGTACCCCCTGCAAAACTAATGATTTTCGTAAATTCTTTTCTCACAGAGAGCGTTTGACTACTTCAACTTAGCAGCTAATGCTGGCAATTCACACGCTATGGCCTTCTTAGGAAAGGTACTGTCCATCCTGTGAATCGATTATGTAATAATAAAAAATGTTTGCATAATAAGTACATGTTATATTCAGGAGCTACAGTGTACAAAAATAAGGGGGAAATAAAATTTCCAGTTCAAGGTTGTTATATCTTGTCTTGAGGTATGTGCCATTCTGAGCATTTTCTTAGGCTACTTAACAGTATTGGTCCATGAGTATGTTAATCCTCTGTTGAAGTTACCAGTATCTGAGCTCCTGCTTTGTGTGTATTTTATACAATAATGAAGAGTTTATACTTTACGTGGTATAGTTTTTTGCTAAGATTGTCACAATTGCATATTTCTGTTCATGCTGAATGGAGACAGAGTTCATTGAAATCTGCAGAACTTTTAATTGTTTAAATATCACAGTTTAAATATTTACCTATCAGGCCAGGGATATAGCTCAGTGGCACAAGCGCCTGCCCGGTAAGCACAAGGTCCTGAGTTTGATTCCCGGTACAATCAATCAATCAATCAATCAATAAATAAATAAATCTGTATGTGTTAAAAATGTATTTGTATAAATATCTACCTATCAATGCAGTTCTTTTCTTAAGCCAGGAAGCATACATCTAAAGACTTAATGAATACATTACATAGAAGGATCTCAAAACTTTTCCATTATTTTGAAAACTAATATAGTATAAACCAATGATTATTTTCATGTATAACCAAATGCAAAAGTAAGGAAGTTCAGATGGACTGTATCTCAGAGGTTTTTACACATAGAAAAGTCTCATGAGTATTTACTGCATGATCAAAACTGGTTAACTGAGGGCTAATCACTACATTTAAACATTCCAACATCACAGCATGGAAATTGGTATTCCCCCATCTATTTTTGTTGGGTATTTTTAGAAAAAAATTTTTTGGCCCTTGCTCTGAATTACTAATTAACCCTACTTCAAAATACAACTCTTAATTCGTTAATGTGTATGTGAATAACTAGCAGCATTGGCCATTCTGTGTTCTCTTCTCTTGGTCCCTTGTCATGTTCTGTACCTGAAACTCTAATTACTTAATATTTTAAACCTTTTTAAGTAACCTTTAATTATTTTTTGTCCTGAACTTAAGGAACAGGGCTGATATACCCAACATGCCATTTACCTTACCCTGGGAGAAGCGGGGGAGGCGGATTCCACTGATGGGTCTCCCTGCTTTCTGGTCACCCATCCAGTGCCAAGCAAATGATTAGCCACTGATTGCTGTGGGACAGACTGAGACAGATATATCTGTACATTAAAGGTTTCTTCTTTTGAAATGGATCTATAAGTTGATTTTATACTTTTTTTTTTTGGTACTAGGAATGAAACTCAGGACCTTGCACTTGCCAGGCAGGCGCTGTACCACTGAGCTATATCCCCAGCCCTATACATTTATATTTCTTCATAAATTTGATAGGACAGGAAATATATTTTTGCTTTTAATTCTAAAATAGTCTGTGGGGAATGTGAAACTTTGAGAAGATTTCATGAGACGAAATAAAAATCAGAATGAGTTATTTTGTTTGTTTTTTTTTTTCCCCTGGTACTGGGAATTGAACTTATGACCTTGCATTTGCCAGGCAGGCACTGTGCCGCTGAGCTAAATCCCCAACCCCCAGAATAAGATTTTAAAACATGTAATTAGACAGAGTTACTAACACTGAGTGAAACTGGGGTCTGTTTTCTAGATGTATTCAGAAGGAAGTGATATTGTACCTCAGAGCAATGAGACAGCTCTGCACTACTTTAAGAAAGCTGCTGATATGGTAAGCCTTCCAGACTCAATGTACTGCTAGTACTTAATAAATACATTTACTACATTGGAAGATTAACCATAACAAAGTTACATCATAAGTTATTGAAGGCGTGTATATAAATATGATTCATGTGCAAATACTGACTGGACAGTGTTTTCCCAATAAGCAGGAAAATTTTTTTAGGAGCTAGATTGTTGAATATTAACTTTCTGTTTGGATTTCTTTGAGATGTTTCCTAATCAGGGAAATATTGATCGTAGCAGTAGAATTGGGAGTTATAGAACTTCCCTCATTTGGGCGGCAGTTTGAAGCCTACTGATTGGGGTTTTTGGTAATCTTAATACATAATTTGGCTCTTTGGCCCAGAGAAAGCTGCATGCACGTAGTGACACTGCGTTTACTTCCTTCCCAGCCACGTGTCACCGTACTCCAGATGCCACTCGAGTGCTCCCAGAGGAGCGCTGTGGCCCCTTTGTTAAGATGTCCTCTATCACATTGGCTTTGGTGAATTCTGGATTTCTCTTTTTGGAATTGCAAAACGGCTATTATTGAGTACCCTTGCTCTGTGTCACTTTACTGCTCTTAGTTGCAGCTCTGCCACCTGATACTGGCTTTGCTGTTATTACGCCACTGTTGGCTCGGCCCAGCATCAGGAGGTTAGATGTCACAGAGTAAACAGCCATCCGACATCTTTTTTATGAAATGTTATTCCTGTTTTGCATCATAAATCCATAGGGTAGATAATCATAAAGTCACTAAAATGTAATTCTAAATGAATTACTGCTTACTGTTTGTAAGCAGATTACTGACAGCTCCCCAAATGCCTGAAAGTTAGTATTAGGTTTAGCCTGATAGGAAGGGGAAAGTTTTGACTTGAAAACTATTAAGACATGTTTTGAGGGGCTGGGGATTTAGCTCAGCGGCACAGCACCTGCCTGGCAAGCACGAGGTCTTGAGTTCAATTCCTGGTACTGGGAAAAAAAAAAAAAGACGCGTTTTGAATACGCTTGTAAGTCATTGCTTTTGTAGTCATTTATTCTTGCCCACTTTTAAGTGAATTCTTTTCACTCTTGTCTAATTTCTTTGGTTTTCAGGGCAACCCAGTTGGACAGAGTGGGCTTGGAATGGCCTACCTCTACGGGAGAGGAGTTCAAGTTGTAAGTGTTCAGCTTAGCACACTCACTTGATACCGTGTGATGAGGTCAGGAGGTGTTCCTCAGCTAGCGCCCAGGGAGCTTATTCCACGGTGACAACAGCTGAACGTTTCCTTGTCTCTCCGAGTCTCACGCCCTGCTCCGCTTTCTTGCTGTCTTCAGAAGATGACTGCACCTCTGGCACCTTCTGAGCTGAGCTGTTCAGTTTTGTCTCTGCTCCTTACCCTACTCGCTCTTCCCATCTCTCTAAGACATAGATACCTCCCTTGCCTGCCGCTTACATCAGGCTTACAAAATGCTTAAGTCTCCCGTTTAGACAGAGGAAAGCTTTCCATTCTGCCCTTTGCCCCTTCCAGCTATCACGTCTCTTCCCTCCAGCCCTCACACAAAGCTATGTTTCTCCAGATGAACTTTATTAAGCCACTGCCGTTCACCCTGTAGTTCTTAGCAGTACTTTCCTCTCTGTTCTGGGTGTGGGGTGACCTCCTAAATGTCAGTCCAGTTGACAGTGTTTGGTCTTCCTTCGCTTGAGCTTTCTCCTCCTTGGCTCTGTGGCTGCAGGCTCCTGGTTTTCGCTGGCCATTGTTTCTCACTGTTCTGTGCTGCCTCTTCATGTTAGGTATCCTTAGGTTTGTGATGTGTTCTGTATGGTCTCTCCGTGAAATATGTTCTTGTAATTTGGGCCTGAAAGTAAGATCTAGATACAAGAATGTGCCGGGCGTGGTGGCGCATGCCTGTAATCCCAGCACTGGGGAGGCTGAGGCAGGAGGATCTTTGCGAGTTTGAGACTAGCTTGGGCTACAAAGTGAGCTCAAGGCCAGCCTGAATTGCAGAGCCAGACCCTGTCTAAAAAAAAAAAAAAAAACAGATACAAGAATGTGATCTATAGTTATTCCCTAACACCAAACACAGATAGTCACAGTCACTGTGACTTCTCTTCATCATTGTAGGATACTAACGTTCAGAGCAGTCTCCAGCTTTTCTCTGTGGATTACTTTGCAATCTAGTAATCAGATAGTGTCTGTTAAAGTACACAGAGAAGAGACAATTAAGGAAAGAAAGTTTTTCCTTATTCAGTACTAGAAACACTGGTTTCAAAGGATTAGTTGGTGATGGAAAAGAGTCATGATTTCTTAACTTCTGATTTTGTGTTCTAGCATTTATGCTGAGAGCAATCACACAGACCATTTTATAAAACTTTGTTTTTCTTCAGTCTTAAATATTTACCTCTACGAATTAGAACATGTTTATCTCTGTGTAAATAATTATAAGGTAGTCCTTTTAATAACTCTTGAAAATACTTTATTTTGTTCATTCTTTTTACTATATGAATCTCCTAACTTTGGGGCATGTCAGCCTTTTAAGCTTTTCATCATTTGATGTCTTTTTCTATAGAATTATGACCTGGCACTGAAGTATTTCCAGAAAGCTGCTGAACAAGGCTGGGTAGATGGACAACTACAGCTTGGTTCTATGTATTATAGTGAGTAGCATTGGAATTAACCCATTTGTGCCAAAGCTTGCAATTTTTGCATGAGATTTATATATGTAACCTAGAAAAGCTCAAGGAACAAGAGTTCAAAAAATTTTTTATGTTCCATTGTTATGTTCATTGTTATTTTATTATGCTCCAAAACATGGAACACTCCAATAAAGGGATTAATGGTGGAGCAGGAAAAGCTAAAGGAACCTGTTTTCCACTAGGTGGCACTGTGGTGCGGAAGAGGGCGGTCCGGTTCTGGCTGTCATGTTCTCCAACTTAGTTACTTGTGCATCTTGCTTGTCACTGTAAAGTATTTCAGTTGTGTTAATATATTAATCTTATTAAATCAGATTCACCTATTTACTATGAATTCTGACTTTCCTGCCAGTCTTATTCCTCATAGGGAAGTCTACCTCTGGTGCTTAATCAGATCTTAATTTAGACTTTTACAGACCTTTTATGTGACTTTTTTATTTTCTTACAGATGGCATTGGAGTCAAGAGAGATTATAAGCAGGCCTTGAAGTATTTTAACTTAGCTTCTCAAGGAGGCCATATCTTGGCTTTCTATAACCTGGCACAGATGCACGCCAGCGGCACAGGTGTGATGCGGTCCTGTCACACTGCAGTGGAGGTGAGGCGTCTCTCCGACCTGTGTGCAGGAAGTGGATTAGCCCCACAGGAGGCTGGCCCTTTCCGTCTGGCTTTCCTTGCATGGTTTCTAAGAAAGTCTAAGAAAAGGACTTAGCGTTTTTGGCGTTCCTGTGCTGAGAGAAGTCCCTGGGGTCTGTGTAACTAGGGTGCTTGTTGAGGCTGTCTCAGTTACAGTCGGTGTTTGTCAGGCAGATGTTGGTGTGTGCTGTGTCTTGGACAGTAGCTGGTACATAGTTAGCATCACAGAAAAAGAACGTGCTGAGTGAACGTTCCAAGAGGAAATGCTAATAATTCCTCTTTGGAAATTTTCCTTTTTAGCTCCCTTAGACCTGATAACTTAAAGTGACATTGATAAATGGGCGGCAAAGTTTCTAAATCTCTGTGCTTCGGTATTTTCCCTTGTAAAATAGGGCTATTAATAGGACCTCACTGGATGGCCTCTCATGAACTTCTTGGGAGGATTAAGTTTGTTAATGTCCATAATCACTAGAATAGTACCTGGCTAGAGTAAATGGTATAAAATAGTTTGCTAATTTTTTATAAACATGTTGATTTTTCTTTTTTTTGGTCTTTCTGAAACCGGGTTTCACTATGCAGTTCAGGCTGGCCTTGAGTTCACTTTGTAGCCCAGGCTGGTCTCGAACTCACAGCAATCCTCTTGCCTCAGCTTTCCGAGTGCTGGGATTACAAGCATGCGCCACCACGCCCGGCCACGTTGACTTCTAAAGAGTAAATGCAAGCAAGCTTCTAGCGATTCAAAGAGCAACCTTAACAATCACTTGTAGGCCAAGGGTCAAAGCTTAGTTTCGGCATGTCTTTCTTACTTTTTCCTGCTTCTCATAGTTGTTTAAGAACGTGTGTGAACGTGGCCGCTGGTCCGAGAGACTCATGACGGCCTATAACAGCTACAAAGACGGTGACTACAATGCCGCAGTGATCCAGTACCTCCTGCTGGCGGAACAAGGCTATGAAGTGGCGCAAAGCAACGCAGCCTTCATTCTTGACCAGAGTAAGGTTCACTGTAGTTCACCTCCCGTTTAACTGCATTCATTAAAGGTTTCTCAAGATACAGTGGTTATACAATACCATTCTTCAAACAGTGGATACCCAGAAGTGGCTGATTACTAGTCCCATTATTGACACAAGGGACAAAACCTGTTTCAGGAAGTGGCACCACCCCAAATCCAGGGACTCCTTTGAGTATTCCAGTACCCGTTTGATTTCAGTGCTTGTTCAATATTCCCATGTGCCACATACCACACTAGTTTGCAAATGAAGCCAGAGTCCTAGTGCCTTTCTTCGAATGTCTGATTGTGCTGTTTCTTTTTCTGCAGGAGAAGCAACCATTGTTGGTGAGAATGAAACGTATCCCAGAGCTTTGCTGCACTGGAACAGGGCCGCCTCGCAAGGTGAGTGGCTGATGCTGGGTAAAAGTTTGATCCAGGGACCTCTCTGTGGTTTTTCTCTCCTGTGAACATTGTCACGTCATTCATTACCTTAAAGTTCAGCACAGATACTATCGGTTACCTTGATTCCATCATGGGCAGCATTTATTCTTGAAATGACAGAGGTTTATTGTAGCTCACAGTTCATAGGAGCTGCAGTCCATAGTCGCCTGGCGGCGTGGCAGAGGGCACGGCAGAGGAGAGACGGCCCCAGACACGGCCAGCTGGAAGCGGCGGCTGCTGCCGCTTTCCCTTCTCCCACCCAGACTGCAGGCCTGGTAGTTAGTGCCACTCATGCCCAGGGTGGCCTTCCCTCTCACGTCTGTCAGACCCACCCAGAGCGATGCCGCACCAGGCAGTGGACTAATCTAGTATCACACACACGGCCATGATCTGGCCACTCCAGAAGTCCCACCTGCTAGTGCTTGAGCTCTGGGGGACGTCTAGATATAAGCCATAAGACTGTAGCCTTTCCCTTGTCTTGTTCTTGTCTTTTTTTTTTTTTTTTTTTTTTTTTTTGTCTTTTTCAGACGGGGTCTCACTATGCAGTTCAGGCTGGCCTTGAGCTCACTTTGTAGCCCATGCTGGTCTCGAACTCATGATGATCTTCCTGCCTCAGCCTCCTGAGTGCTGGGATTACAGGAGAGTGCCACCACACCCGGCTGTCTTTTTCTTTTAAATATTTCTTTCTCACACATCCTCTACTCAGTATTGTCTGCCTCTCTCTTCTCCAAGACTAAGCAATGGTCAAACTATTCTTTAAGACGTGAACAATGTGATAAAATAGATCCTGGTCATTTAAGGAGAATAGTAAAATCGAGAGTACTACCACTTTGTTTTATTTTTTCCTCTCTATTGCAATGCATTCTGAGAAAAGGTACGCTTCTAGTTTAAATTTTCACTGACCTTACGACTTAGACAAGGATTGTATTACAAAGTTTGTGTAGTGCAAATTAAAATTCTTTGTTTTATATAAGTGTGTAAAGGGAATTAATGAGTTTGGTCTGTTGTAAACCTACTGTATTTATTGTCAGCTTTGCATTTAACCTTTTTAAGGCTACACCGTGGCTAGAATCAAGCTCGGAGACTACCATTTCTATGGGTTTGGCACCGACGTAGATTACGAGACCGCGTTCATTCATTACCGCCTTGCTTCCGAGCAGCAGCACAGCGCACAAGCGATGTTCAACCTGGGGTATATGCACGAGAAGGGCCTGGGCATTAAGCAGGTGAGTGCGGCTTCACAGCCGCTTTGGAGTGATGGAACCGTGGTGGGGAAGGGCCTGCGTTTGGGTGGGAGATACACTTGCTTTGGAACTACGTCAGGTTTATTTTGGAGAGCTGCCCTAGACTCTGTCACCGTCCCGCAAACACACATAAAACCCGCACTGTTAGAGACAGAGCCGTGAGACAGAGCTGCAGCGCGCCTCCGCTGGCAGCCGCTTATGTAAGAGAATACCTCTCCATCTTCCGTCAGACTCTGTGTTGTTCCTAGATTACTTTATATGAATTAAATTTTTTTCTGCTGAATTATTTCTGATTCTTATACTTTCCTAATGAAGTCTAACATTCTCTAGACCCATGGTGTTATATTTTTGCCTGCATAACCTTGAACAAATTTTGAAAGAACTATATATTTCTTCTACATTTTTAAGTTGATGTTTAATGTTTTCCTTCCATTAGAAAAAAGATCTAAATACCAGCTAAGCTAGGTATGGTGGTGTATTCCTACAATTTTAGCACTTGGGAGGCTGAGGCAGGGTGGTTACAAGTTCAAGGCCAAGACCCTATCCTAGGAAGTCAACCAGTCAACTCGTCAACAAATTCCAGCCATTTTAAATATCAATTTCTTTCTTTATTTTTTTTTTTCCTCTTTTTGAGACAGGGTCTCACTGTGTAGTTCAGGCTGACCTTGAGCTCACTTTTGTAGCCCAGGCTGGTCTCAAACTCACAACGATCCTCCTGCCCCAACCTCCCAAATGCTAGGATTATAGGCATGCACCACCATGCCTGGCTTTCAACATTTTTTTAAATAAAGTTATTAAATTGCTCTTAAAATATTCACTGGAATCTAAGTACCAGAATAATTTGATATCTTTGATTTCTGTATACAAGGAAATCCCTTAATTGCAAATTATATCTTTAGCTTTTCTCCTTAAGTTTATATTTTCAACCACTGCATCCACATATGAAATTACATCCTAACGTTACATTTTGAATGATTAGGTCTTTAACTGGTTACTCTGTCATACTTTCATACTTCCCTAAAACAGTTATATAAATTTACTTTGTGCCTTATTTTCTGTGGTGTAGATATAAAAAGATCAATGATAAGAAAAATTCAGATAACTAGTCAAGGTCAGCCGGTTATTAATACATTATTAATCAAATCAATGAAATAATATAATTTTGATTTTTAAAAATTTTGTGTTTTTTTAGAAAAAAGCTTATGTACAATTCATGGACTTAGCACCAGTTCTGCTGTTTGTTTTTATAAATGTATGACCGAAACCTTATTTACATAAATAAGTATGTGGGACTACACAGGGTTTCATTACCACAGTCACCTGGTTCTTTCAGCTACTTTGTGGTGACGTGCCGACCATCAGTGATCTCATTAAGGGGGACATCTTTAAGTGTGCCGTCCACTGACTTGACTAGGCCCCCCTCGTGTACCAGGAAAGGGAAGAATTAGAACCGGAGCCTGCAGGCAGAGCCGTTCCCCGACCTGCACAGCCGTTCAAGCTGTCTCTGGGCCGAGCGCCGGGAAGGCTCCGAGGCCGGGGAGTGGCTGTTGGCCACACCCCTCTCGCTGCCACGCGGCACAGGATGGGGAGAAACTTGTTAATTTCATTCTGCTTATACGCTGTATTTTGGCAAATCGCATTTGCTAAACATTGTTTTCTTTTAGTATGTCAATTTTTATAATTACAACGTGAATCATCACTATTAGATACTTAAATGCAGTTTTGTCAGCACTCCGGAGCTGCGGACTCAGCGCACCCCGTTGTGAGAAGGCCTCTGCCACGCAGCGCTTTCACGGGGGCCTCTCCGTCCTCAGCCCATGAGGCTGTTTCTATCAGGAGGCTGACTTCATTTTTTTAATTTGTTTGAATTTTTTTAATTCAAGTAAAATTTACTATTTTTGCTTTATGACTAATGTAAAGATCACAAAAAAGTTATAGTATTTAGGGGATAGGCTTGGGAGATACAACTAATAACCCACTTTAATAACAGTTATAAAATAAGAAGATTGATATGTACTTATAATTTGATTTCTAATTTAATAAAACGTATAGTTAGTATGCATTTTTGTGACTGAAAAAAGCATAGTATTCTTTAGATGAGCATAGGGGGAGGGAACTTGAGTTCAGGTTTTGAGAATAAATATTCCTGTACAAATACCCTAAGAATTCCATTACTTCTTACAAGACATCTTGATTACCTTTTCCCATTTTTCCGTATTTTCAAATGAAAGAAATAGTCATACTCATGCATACTAATCACTCCTGCATCTAGTATAGTTAGAAAGCTCTGACGTACTAAGTAAAGACGAGGGTAGTTGGAAAGGGGATTGGTAAGCCTTAATCACCCTATTGAGTCATCTGTAGTTTGTGTTATGACATAGTTTGAACTCATCATCTTGAAAAATAGAGCAGTCCAAAAAATGTTTCAAGTTTTTTGTTTTATTTTGTTTTTGTTTTGTTTGGTGTGGAGGGTGGATCCTAAGGGCTCAAACACACTAAGCACATGCTGACCACTGAGCCACATGCCAGCCCTGAGCTGTTGTATTCCTTAATAAATCAGGGACACCATACTGCTGATACTATCTGAAGGTGCCATTCTTTTTAACTAGTGACATACCAAGGACTAGCCAAGAGTAACTGTACTTAATGTGTAGGGGCAAAGTCATGTTTAGCCCTTCTTATGTCTCATGGAACTCTTTCCTGAGTTTAGTATTCTTTGACAATAGTCAGGGATGGAACAAGAACTACTTTTAAGTGAAAACTATCACAATTCCCACTGTTCCATTCATTCTAGCATTATCTGAATTTCCGACACTCCATCCTGAGCCAAAACTAATGACTTGTTTACTCCTTTATAGAAATACATCTAAGACAAGATGCCCTATAATGGGTTTTCAATTAGTCAGTACTGGAGCCTTCTCCAGAACCAGTGTTTTAGGGTGTCTCTTTATGTGGTGACCCCGGAGGTCTCTCCGTGCCCAGGCAGTGTGCCCAAGGCGGGGCTGGCCAGCAAGCGGTGTGACTTTCTCTCCATGGAGTGAGGTCACCGTGCATGCAGGCCTGGCTTCGGGAGCCTCCTCAGGAGAAAATGGGTATGGACGCTGAGGACTAAACTCCAGCCAAGACAAGTGCCTCTTGGGAAATCTTGAGTGACCTAAGGATTTAAACTAAACCAAAATTTCTTATACTGAGTGAAGGTTGAGTAGGAAAAAACAGCTTGAAACTTAGCGCACACTGCTGGAACTCTCCAGCTAGCAGTGGGCAGTGCCTGCATCCGGCATATCTACACAGCAAACAGAGTTGGACAGAAATGAGCTAAGTGTCCTCATTTTTTATTAAATTTATCAAAATTTTGCAGTTAGGTAATTCAAGAAATCAGAGAAAATTGGGGGTTTTCTTCTTTAGGTGAGGGAAATTCTTTTTTCTCTAGGTGATAGAAATTCATCTTAAAATGAAAAGCTGAAAGGTAAGACAGATGTTCCCGATATAAAAACTAACTAGCAGTCTTACCTGCTTTGACAAGGAGTGAATTTTGGTCATTACCTGTGTTACAGGACATTCATCTTGCAAAACGCTTTTATGACATGGCAGCGGAAGCAAGCCCAGATGCACAAGTCCCCGTCTTCTTAGCACTCTGCAAATTGGGCGTTGTGTACTTCTTGCAGTATATAAGGGAAACAAATGTAAGTGGTCCGTTCTTCTTTTCATGAAAATGCAGATGATACGACTGTCCCAGGCCTGGGAGTTTGTATCTGAATAGTTCTGGGGCATGGGGAGGAATACCCTGTGAGAGTCAGGTCCCATCCCTTCCTCTGCCCACCGGAAGCCCCAGAAGACCTCACCAGGAGAGAGTTGAGTGTAGACACAAAACAGCACAGGGTTTAGGCAGTGCCGTGAAGTACTGTAGTGCCTAGCGCCTAGGTGCTTTCCGTTGGTGCGTGTGTTTTCTGGTTTGACTCTTGGCCGGGGAAACAGAAGTTAACTAAACATAGTAAACATTAGGTCAGGTGACTGGTAATTACTTGAACCAGTACTTTCAGAAAAAAAAAAGAAAAAGGAAGATGAACCCAAGAAGCTGTCCAGGCTGTTGTACTTCATATTTGTCTGATAATAAAACATGTGTTAAAATTGCCACCAGAAGTTTCTTCCCTAAAAATAGCTTGAGCTGTTGAAATAAGCTAAGAGTAGATCATACATAGGAGATGGGTTACCTGTTCTCTTCAAAACCACCAGCTTTATTTAATCATTCTTACAGGTAGGTGCTGTTAGGATCTGCCAGTTTTACACTTTCCTCACAGTACCTAGAACTCACCCTAAAGTGTTCAGAGCGCTTGTTAAAATCAGCAGCCATTTAACTTTGGATCATGCAGGACTGGGAAAGGGTGATGTTTCAATTAGTGTCTTCCCAAACAGGCTGGTGTGTTACTTCAGCATTGGCTTGAGACCGGGCTTTGCTTTTGAACACTGCACAAATACCAGTGAGGTCCATCTGCCACAGCGTCAGTAGAGAGAAAGGGTCTTCTCTGTCTACCTGAGCCCAGCTCCTGAGGTCCTCTGATGTCGGGTCCAGTGTCCTGCTCACAGTTGCCCGTGCGCGGCAGTTGCTGTAACTGCTGGGTAGCATGAGCCGCGGTGCGCTGCACCCTCTGCCGGTTGAAACAGTCCTGTTCCTCTAATGACAAAGCTGGCAGTGGTGGCTCACACATCCTCTTGTCTCCCACAGCTTTAATCACCGGTTACCACCTAGGACAGTGGGGGCAGCCTATGGCACATGTGTTGTTTTTCTTTCTTTTTTTTTTTTTTTTAATTGTTTAGTTGCTTTAATGTATACATGATATATATTCACAAAATTTATGCAGCTTATGCTATACCAAAATTAAAAGTAGCATAGTACACATATACAACATTTGAGCAGTTTGTCTGAAATGTTAAAATCCATATAAAAGGATGAGTTGTTGTATATAATGTCTGCTGAAGTCGTAAGCATCCTCCTCTTTAGTCTTTTCATCCAAGATAGTAAAAGGTCTTGTAGATGGTTCACCTGCTGTAATAGTTTCCTCTGGCAGTGCCTCCTCACTTGTTTCTTCTATAGGGGACATGTCTGAGATCTTTTCCATATCGTTGTCCTCTTTTTCCTCGTTTCCTTTCTCTCCTCTGTTCTGGCAATTCAGGTATGTCTTTCTCCTCCATTATTCCATTTGTCAGACCCGGAGACCAGAAAGGTATGCTATTGGCTGAACAAGGGCCCCGGATGGCTTGTATGCAGTGTGCATTATTCTTTTCCAGTTCCTCCAGATTAAAGCCGCTTTTCACGTCTGCCACAATACTTCCATTAAAATGTGGAGAAAGAGTCCAGGATGTAGGGGGCTGGCAACAGCAACTGAAGAAAAAAGATGTTAATGTGTGGGTTGTTTTTCTAAACGAAAACCTCAGTATTCAGGTTTCATTGCAGTGTTGGCCCCTGAAGATAAATACTTGGGTTTGAGGTTGCAGTTTGAGCAGTTGTCTCTAAAAGGCTCACCATCACTGGTCCAGGATTTGATGTTGCAATGTACACCATATGGAGCAGGTTGTGTAAGGTTTTATCACTGTTGAGAGACACTGACACAGATTTTAAAAGGCCTGCATTGCTGGTGCGGGAGGATTGCAGGGATTGCAAGGACCCTCGCAGGAGGGAGCTGGGGGGCGGGTTTTATTAGGTTGAATGGGTGGAGTCAGTGTGGGCAGGCGAGGTGTCTATCTCAAGAGGATTGGGGAGTTGTTGGCCCAAGCTTTAAAAGGGAGCAGGAAGTTTATTTTGGGGTTTGAAGAAGAACAAAGAAGTGTGTCATGCTGGCGCCACTGTAGGATTTCTAGGTGTCTGTCAGGTTCTGTGTTTGCTTTCTTAAAATGTGGAAATGTAAAAGCAAAATAATCTTATGACACAGATATTCCAACTTAAAAGAAGTGTATGAGTAAGAAGTATAGATGTAAGAAAGTCAAACAGTAGAGAAAAGCGCAAAATCTCCCATCTCAGATACTTTCTCAGGGAACACCGTAGTTTGCAATTTTGTTTCCAGAAAAACTTAGCCACCTGTACTTACAAATATATATTATGAGGACCTTTTGAGGTGTAATCTTATTTAAAGGAATACCCCATATGTATTGTTTTTTGGGGGATAACAGAAAATGTTAGTCATTTCTCAAAAGTGACAGTAAAACAAAATCTCATAGATGATGAGCATAACTTTTAAGTTCAAATTCACATTAACACAGTTTTAGTTAAAACCTCACAAAAAGGCATTATTCACTCAGCTATTGAACATTTGAATTACTGCAGTGTTTAGTTGCCTGAGAAGTAGTAGTGGCACAGCTCAGCTGCCGCTAGACCCGACCTTTGCGGCCAGTGTGCCCTCACTACAGACAGATGACCGGTGTCCCCAGATGCTGGCTTTTCTTCCCTTTCTTTCTTTCCTGATTGCCCAGTGTTCCTTTCACTGGGTATTTGCTGTGAAAAATGGTTGGCAGTTGGTACGTTATATTACTGATTGTCTCTCATTGCTGGGACAAAGTACCCCACACCCAAAATTAAGGAAGGAAAGGTTTATTTATCTCGCAGTTTGTGGAGGTTTCAGTCCATAGTCAGCTGGCTCTGAGGCACGGTGGCATGACATAGGGGCAACAGTCCAAGGCGGCAGAAGACAGTAAAAGCAGCAAGACCACAGGGCGGGGAAACAGCCTCTTTTCCTCCTTTATGTTGTAAGCGCATCTCCTGCCCTTCTCTTCCACAAGCTGAGGATGTTCACAAAGTGAGGACCCTGGCCTCCTGCTGAATCACTTAGTTGAAATTTTAAACTTCTCAAGTTGACACAGTGAACAACATCGTATAGCAGGAAGGGCATGTCCTTTTCACCCCAGGATGCAGAACTGCTGAGTCCCTTAGTGAAGCCTCTAGCCTCCTGCAGTTGACACACTGTATCAACCATAACACTGGTGAACCCTATTAGACACTTTATAGAGCCAAGCTGCTATACACTAATAGCTTAGTTCCAGAGACACTTCATTGTGAGCTTCGGTTGAAGGTTTTTAAGACTTTTTAAAAACACATTGCAGAATATTCCAAAAAGCAGTTTATATTTGTCTCTAATTTGTGACATAACTTTCATAGTCCTTTGCCTGGTAGCGAAGTAGTAATGATTTTTATGTTATTTTCATTAAGATTCGAGATATGTTCACTCAGGTGGACATGGACCAGCTTCTGGGCCCCGAGTGGGACCTTTACCTCATGACCATCATCGCGTTGCTCTTGGGAACAGTCATAGCCTACAGACAGAGACAGCACCAGGACCTGCCTGTGCCCAGGCCTCCGGGGCCAAGGCCAGCCCCGCCCCAGCAGGAGGCGCCACCTGAGCAGCAGCCGCCCCAGTAACAGCCACCAGCCCAGCCTCGGCCAGTAACTCCCACGGACTTGTTTGCTGCGGACTTGCATTTGAATGAAGACTCTGGCTTGGTGGCCTCCTGGAAGAGGCACAGGAAGCATTGAATGCCTAAAGCTGCTTAGAATCTGATGCCTTTATTTTCAGGGATAAGTAGCTCGTTCCTAAGCTGAGCTGAATGTTCGTTTGTTTCAGTGCCATATGAATAACAACTCAGTGGCTTTCCTTTTTTTTTTTTCTCTGGAAACATGTGAGACCCTCAAAAGTAACGTCTGCCGTAGCCGGCTGTCTTTCATTGGTCCCTTTGGTCGTTCTCTCCCCGTGCGGAAGTTCTCATACCAACCGTCTGTAAGGTCTTGTGTAGCAACACTAAGAACTGATGGATGTAAGAAGAAGACTCAGTTGCAAGTCTAACCGTAAACACGTTTAAAAGTCTGAAAGTAAAAAACATAAAAAAGATACATTTAAAAGTCTGAAAGTAAAAAACAAAAGACACCTTCAAAGTGTTTTGGAGCTGTGATAACTGAGAGACTGACCAGTCCACATGCAAGTTCTCACATGCAGCATTTTTTTCTTTTAAAATGGAAGGTTGGGAGGTTTCTTCCTATAGGCGATTGTCACACTTCGTACCGTACTTCTCTCCCTCAAAGACTGCAAGGCTTTGTTGAAAGAGTTGTGTGGGAGTGTCCCTTCCTTGTAGTAGAATACATGTGGGATTCTGTGAGCAGATTTCTGTGCTGACATGAGCTTGCCCTGCCTGCTCCGTGTAATCTGCTTGTTTATTTTGAGTATACAGAGCCTTGATCCAGAAGCTGGAGGATGGACTAAGTGGATGAAATGAAAAGCAATGCTAAAGAACCTCACATGAGGTCCCAGCACCATAGACACTTCCCCAAAAGTTGAAGCATTTGTTCCCACGTTTTGTTTCACTTTGCATTTCTTTCTGCACAAAGAACCGTTCTCCCTCGTGAACCCTTCAGATATGAAATAGCGTTTTTAGTGTGCGGCCCACAGGAACGACTACAGCTGAGAGCACCGAAGGGGGGTTCCACTCAGTGCCCGATGAAAAGCAGGGCCTGTCCGCACTGTCCTGTGTGTCCAGGGAGCTTTATTTCTGGCGGTTTTGTGTTACAGGAGAAAACTGCTTGCTTCCTGATCCCGCTCACCGTCCTCCCACTGTTGCAAACATCAGGAAAGTCAGGGCTGCGGCACCATAGAATCGCCTGGTTAGACAGAAGACAACAACCAAAAAGAAAATTGGTAGCTTCACTCTATCACTCAAATGAAAGCAGTAACCCATAAGCTGAATTGGATTTCTTTGTATCATCAAACGGTGGGGGCTCACCGGAGGCTCCGTAGTGAGTGGGCAGTCCACAGACATAGTCTGAACCCCTCATCTGCAAGAAAACTTGAAGAGTTCATTACTTGTAGAGTTGTAATGCTAGGGATTTTAAATTCAGGGTTGTTCTTAGAACTAGATTTAATTAGTCTAGAGTGAACATGAAGGCTTTAAATGTGAACTTGTGTGCTTTTTTGTGCGTGTTTAGAGTATTATGGGAAACTTGATAAGCGAACTTCCTCCCAGGCATTTGCTTCCGCGTTTGAAGAAGTAGTCAGAGAGGACCACACATAGAAAAGCGTATCTGTGAGAGATAGGAAACCTGCCCTTTGCCTTGGGCAACCCTTGTAAATACAAAGACTGTTGGTCTCTTACATTGAGACCGGACCGCAGGTGGTACCGTATGTTGGCGTCTTCACAGATGCCTCTGCCCCGCCCCTTCAGAACAAGTGTCATCCAGGGGAGGCCGCACTTCATTTAGAAAGCACTGTGGTAATTTATTCTGAGGTGAAGGCCCCAGGCACAGTGTCACGCACCTGAGGTCCTAGCCACTTGGAAGGGCAAGGCCAGAGGATCACGTGAGCCCATGAGTTTGAGACCAGCCTGGGCAGCACAGGAAGACCCTGCCTCCAAAAAAAGTCAAAATGCTTCTAAGAAATGACAACCAAGTTTCATTTTCCCCCCTGCCATCCACCTGCTTTCTCCTTGCCCAATATTTTTATATCAAGCTTTCCCTCCCTGCCCTGGTACTTGGAGAAAACACTTCTTCAGTCAGCGTGCACTACCTAAGGTGGATGGGCAAGCGTGGTCTTGTTCTTCGGGTATTAACAGCTGCCCGTCACTGTACCCTTGCCGTGTCCTTTTTCATTGTTAGTAGTAGTAGGACTGCAAATATCCTTCCCTTGGCTTGTTTCTACCTCCTGTTTTTCCCGGGGCCTTTGCTTCCAAAAAATTTAGATAGTATGTTTAACATAACTCAGCCCTTATGGCTCCTTTAAAGACTGTATCAGAACACTTTGTTCCCTTGTCTTTTGGTTCATGAGACGTGGTACCTAAGCAAATAGGAATTGGGCTTGGTTTTTCTCCTAAAAATAATGCACAATACTTACCTAATCAAATGGCATCCATTTGAATAAAATGACAATAGCTAAAGCTAGTGAATGTCAGTGACATTAAACTAACTCCAGGATTCAGGAGTTTCAGTGTTAGAGTTTAGACTTGCCGGTAGAGTACGGCTTCATCTCTCCATGCAGCCCACCTCTGCTGACGTCTCTGCAGCCTCTCGGCCTCCAGAGGTGACGAGACTGTTCATCAGTTCTCTGTGCTTTGCTTCTAATTTTACCAGGTGGCCCTGGTAAGTTTTTTGGTCGTTTTTCCTTTTGTGTTTGAAATTTTTGTTTCTGTTTTCTAGGAGAGGCTTGACTTATTTTTGGTTAACTGTGGCGTAGAAAAGGCAAATGAGAAGTTTTTTCCAAAGTTGACTGTTTAGAACTTACATTGGATTATGAACTATTAATCCTGACATTCTGAAGAATCTGTTGCTCTGCTGCAGTGGAAGGGTAATTTCTGAGAATTTTACCACCAAGCTGTTTTCTCTCTGTACCGTTGGAAAAGCTTAGAAACTTCCACCAGCGATCAATGATCCAATGAGTAAGCCTACAGGAAACACACACACACACACACACACACAGCATTTTTTGTTTTTCTTTCTCTGCTCCTCATGTTTGTTATTCAAACCAATGTTTTGGAAGTATGCATGCAGGCCTCTGAATGAAAACCACAGTTCTTCATATGTGTAGCATGTGTACTAATGTCTATGTTGAGACAGGGTCTCGCTAAGTTGCCCAGGCTGGGCTCAAACCTGCAATCCTCCTGCCTCAGCCACCTCAGCCTCCCAGAGTGCTGGGATTACAGGCATGTGCCACCACACCTTACACTAATGTCTAACTGTATCTGCAAGAACTTCCTTGACAGAGGCTTGGACTAACAGTTCACATGCACATTTCGAAACAAGATGCTTCAGGTAAACGGCTGCTTTACCTGGCAGAAAGAACAGGGCTGTATTTGTTCCAGTGACAGCCAGCGTTTGTTTTTAAAGTGAACTTGTTATATATTACACAATATTGTGAGTAGAAATATGCAAGAAATAATAGAACAAAAGAAAACCTCTTTTATGCATATGTTCTCATCAGTCACTGCTCAAATAGGCGTGAAAATATACAATTGCTGAATGGCATATTGTCTGAGGCACTACCTGGTTGTTAAAAGTATTGTCATTGAGAAACTAAATTTCTCCATCTGGCTGGTACTTGAAGAATGTTTAAGATGACCCCAAATACAAAGATCTGTATCTGACACTGACTACTTACACAAGTAGAAATCTGCCTTTGGTACGCAGGGGAAGGGTCCCGTTTCTATGCAGGGTGCCCTCTCATATGTCTCGTTTTTACCCTGGATTGACACACCGGCTAACACTATTTCTCTCTCGTTGAAAAACAATGCTGATACGATCGGAGCAACCACTATAAATATTTAGGAGAGGAAGTTTTAAAAGACCATAAGCTGGCATGGTAAAGGAACATCACGGTAGACTCTTTTTGTAAATTGATTTTGTATTTAATGAAATACAGTATACAGGCTGGCGAAGTGTAATATAATTGTGTAAACAAACCCTGTTAATAGAGAGATGTACAGATTCGTTTTGTACTGTATCTTGAACCTTGTGAAATAAAAATTCCACCTCTGGGTGTCCGTGTCATGTAGTACACCACGACCAAGCGTGTTCCCGGTCACACCTGTTTCACTGCATGACTCAACTTTTTAAGAAACGTTTTTTTGGGAGCTGGGGATTTAGCTCAGTGGCAAAGCACCTGCCTGGCAAGCGCAAGGTCGTGAGTTCGATTCCGGGTACTGGAAGAAAAACTAAAAAAAAACTACAAAAACAAACAAAAAAAAAGAAACTTTTTTTGGAAATTCAGAAACTTCTGGAAAACACTCATTTGGAGCAATTTGAATCCACCTTTCATTTTTAACTCCTAAAGTTCAGATTCCTGTAAGTTAAATATTGCTCTAGGGAGATGAATTTGCTAAGAAATGTTCACTCTCTGGTACACTAAACCCGAAGCAGCCTGTGATACAGTATAGCATGGTTCCCCTTAGCCCGATCTTAGAGTCCGTGTATTCACGCCGTCTCTCGTTTCAGGAAGTTTTTAGCAGTGCTTGCAGAGACACACACATGCAGCACCATAAAGTCTTAGAATAAGACCTAAGTGAAGGAGGAATGGAAAAGAAAATATGAAACCAAGAGCCCTTACATGCAAATCATGGGCTAGGGGTGTCACTCAGTGGTGAAGCCCTTGCCTAGCACATGTGAGGCCCGAACTCCAGTCCCCAGAAGCAGCAGCAACAAAGATGCACGTTAGAAGTAGGCCTCAAGTTTGGCCCTCTGTCCTACAGCCAACTTGCAGAGGCCAGACGCTGCAGCTTGGAAGGATGGGGTGCGTGGGGAAGCCTGGACAGGGAGGTCTTGTCGAGGGAGACATCAGACCTCAGCGCTTGCTTCAGGGAGCAGTCGGCCACCCGCAAGACCTTGGCTGAAGTCAGCTCTGGGCACGTGGGGCCTGAGAGCCACATCAGTCATCAGGTGGGCGGCTCGGCCTGGAGCTGGGCTGGAGCCTGCTTACCAGTCAGCGCCTTGCTGACAAGCCATTAAAATGAAGCCCTCAGCCTTCAGGGGATGCTCTTGGATGAGAAACAGCCTCTTTCCTTCCTCTGTGATCCTGATTCAGATTGGTTTTACCAGTTTTGAAATTTACGTTCACTAAGTAACTGCATATATCTGAACTTTATGTAAGTAAAACATGAGAAATCCCCGGGAGTAGGGAGCACCTTAGGTTCAAGGCCAGCCTGGGCTGCAGAATGAGTTCAAGGGGGGCCTGAATTACGTAGCAAGACCTTAACTGACAGAAACCAAAACACAGAATTTTTTTTAAAAGTCTCAGGAACTGTGAAAAAAGCAGAAGGAAGTTTTTAGCTTCTGGAGACGACAAAAATAAAATTAGCTTTGGCATTCAAAATATTTAAAAGCAAATGCTCTAATGTTTTAAAGCAAAATTTCTAGAGCTCATGAAGTAGTACTATGTTGTAGACCTGGAATACTTCTGGGTCACTTGCACTGTTTAGAAACCATCAGGCTGAACAAGCTTATAATTGGATCCTGAAAAATATACTTACTATCAGTCTGGTAGGAGTTTTAGACTGATGGTACTATACTATTAATGTTATGTTTTGGGCAAAACTCTGATTTTCCTAAAGGTCCAGTTATTTTTCTCTGGAGTAAGTTCTTTTAAACAAGACCTAGTGTTAATGCTGAACTGTGTGTTAAATCCCATTCCTAAACACCTTACATAATTTTTTCTCCTGTAAATTGAGGAGAATGTAATCCCAGCACTCAGGAAGCAGAGGCAGGAGAGTTCCTGTAAGTTCGAGGTCAGCCTGGGCTACATAGTGAGTTCAAGTCCAGCCTGAACTGCATCATGAGACCCTGTCTTAAAAAACAAAACAAGAAAAAAAATTGGGTAGATGGTGGTCAGTGCATGTAACCATTGGTTGTTCAGTCCAGCTTCTGCCTCTGTCTTCCCTCCAAGGGGATTTCTTTGACCTCTCCCCTCAGGGTTGAGAACTGTTCGTGTCTTGCACATACTGGGAGACTTAAGATGTCCTCAGTTTTGCATGATGCAAGACTTAAATGGAAAAAACCTCCATTCTGGGAAACATTTATTTCAAGATGTGACGACGCAGCTGTGGGTTTCAGAGTTTGCACCTGGGTTTCCCCCGCTCCTCCCCCTTAGCCTCACCCCTAGGTTTCCTTGGGAAATATCATTAATTGAACTAAACGAAATCTGACACGCATGGAGACGAGTCTTGATTGCGTGTGTGTGCGTGACAGGAGCAGAGGCATGGCTGTGTTTCCCTTAATGCCCTCGTACAAAACGGGCTCCTTTTGCCACCTGCACTTGGGCGTTATTTTCTCTTACACACCAGGTGCACAGCGTTCTTCCGCTGGTAGCGTCTCATGAAATGCATGTAAATTTACCTAGGTGAGGACGCGATTTCTCAGTGGCCCTGTTTTGACTGAAATATGTGCTGTAAGTGGAACTGTCTGCACCAGAGCTGGGGACAGCAGCCTTTTTTTCCCGAAAGGCAAAGAGAATTAAACATTTACAAGTCAGTTTCAGTGGCATCTGCGTTTCATCACCCATTTGAGACGTAACAGTAACAGCACCTTCACAACTACATTGATATTTTGTGTACTCAGGTTAGTTTAACCAAGGAATAATGTGTTAGGTGTCACCAAACAGCACGGTAAGTTAGGCAGGACATTTATGCTGTAGAGTAGTAAGACAGAGGAAAGACTGAATGGAGATGAAGCCCTAAACATTTCTGTTTTGTGTTGGCTTTGGTTTTGTTTTTGTTTTGTTTTGTTTTGTTTTTGGTACTGGGAATCGAACTCACGACCTTGCGCTTGCTGGGCAGGCGCTGTGCCACTGAGCTATATCCCCAGCCCTTGGCTTGGGTTTTTGATACAGGCTGTATTGCTTTGTAACTTAGGCTGGCCTTGAGCTCTCAGTGACCCTCCTGCCTCAGCTTCGTTGTGCCAGGATTACACCTGGCTGACTTATCCCAATCTTAACTACAGAAGAACTACATTGCCTCCGTTATTAAAAGGGGCTTTAAGCCGTGTCACCAGTCGGGATGAGCGTCCTCCTGACTAGTGGGGCAGAAGCTTCAGGGAGGGCTGCAGCCACACCCGTCACAGGCTGCGCTGTAGCGGGTTCTACGTTTCCAGCTGCCCCTCCCATCGTTCTCCGTTTCCTGACCCTCGCATAGAGCGGGTTAATGATCCACCCTAAGTGCAGAGGGAAGAGGTGGGTGCCGTAGCGCCCTGCACTGAGTGGCCAGCCACCCCCGCAGGACCCTCCCCTTCCCTGGTGTCCGCAGACCTCAGGAGCCGGCTTGCCCTGGGTGGCTGTGAGGGCCCTGTCCCACTGCTGGAGGTCTTAATGGCAGAAGTGATTGAAGTAACTTTTTCACCAACAGCAAATTCTTACAGGGCTCTGAGATAGAAATAACACATTCTAGTGCCCTGAGGTGGTTGGCTTCTAACACAGGCACGCACAGCTATCATGTGTGTTTCAAAGGTCAGTCTTAAAGTTTATAACATAACATTTTGTGCTCCATCCACCAGCCTTTATTATACTCTAGTCTCTATCTTCCAGGGACTGAATGGAAATGAATTTTAAGATGGGTCTGAGCCAGGCATGCTGGTGCAAGTCTATGATCCCAGCACTCTGGGAGGCTGAGGCAGGAAGATCACAAGTTTAAGTCAGCCTGAGCAACTCAGCAAGACCCTGTCTCAAAAAAAAAAAAGTGTTTTTTAAAGGGCTAAGGATGTAACAGAGTGCGGAGGCCCTGAGTTCAATCTCCAGTACTAAAAGAGAGTTGTGGGAAGAGGACACGAAAGAATGGATTTAAAGAGACTTTTGTCCTCTGAGAGTGATCTTTGCGGATAGCTGATTGAACACAGCATGTGACTGGCTCTAAGTACACAAGTTACAGTTGACGCTCACTCGGTGACCTTGGGACGCTTCCCTCCCTCTTACCAGATAAACTGCAAACTTGGAGAGGCCATGCAGCTCGCTTAAGATCGCTCAGTGTTAATCTCAAAAGTGGAATTCAGAATCCCTAAATCCCAAGCTCTTCGCCGTAGACTCTGCTGTCGGGGGTCTTCAGTGGGACGCGGGAAGTTTCATAACAGAGGCATAAACGCGGGGCGGTGGGGAACAGAAAGGAGCAACACCTGTTTCTTTCACGGGTCAACCTTGTCTACACGGGCTCTCGTTCTGTTTTTAGCTTGTGCTACTAGAGCAGGGTTTGCGGGCATCCAGCGCTGCCCTGCAAGGCTAAAAACAAAGCACATCTGGAGCACGTGAGGGCTGGCTCATTCGTTCCACCGCGTCCAGGGTGGGAGGAGGGGCCATGGGTGGCTTCGGGAGGGCTGTGGCTGGGACCAGATCATTTCACATCTGCTGGGGCCGGACCATCCCAGACGGCTCCTGCGCTCCCGCGCCTGGCACCTCGGCTTCCATGGCCAGAGCCCCGGGGACTGTCCGGGGTCTCCCTCTTCGTGCGTGGAGCTTTGGGGGTAGCAGAAATGCCTCCAGCCAATCAGGAGAGCCCAGGTGGAGCTGCAAGGCTTCTTCGGACCTGGCTTCAGAAATCTCAAGCACCATTTCCACTTTGTCCTCGGGTCAGTGGTCCCTAAGGCCAGCCCAGGGTCGAGGATGCCGTGTGAAGGAGCGGGCTCCGCCTCCGGGGCAGAGTGTATGGGAGGGAAGCGGGGAAGGAGTCTTGGAGACTGCTGCCTTCACAGGTTCGCTTTCCTCTGTGGCTCCAGCAACCTTGACAGCCCATAAATCAGTTATAGACGCACTAATGCTTGACTGGCCTCGGGGTGACTCCTCTGTATGTAACTTGTGCTGTGAATAGTGAGGACACAAGGATGCCAATAAATCAGACAACAGCTCCAGCCCCAAAGCATTGCTAAACCGTGGCCCTTAGGAGCTTTTCAAGGCCAAGACCGTTTCCCTGTCTTCAATTTTCAGGAGCTTCTAATGTAACTGCCACCAACCCAGCCTGCCCACAGACTAGCACTCAGACCTCGCATGTCCCTTTGCCTGAGATAGCT